TCTACTATATCTCCAGAATCTATTAACCGATCTCAATAAAATTTGGTACAGATAATGTATGACAGTAGGCCTTGCATTGCCTAAAATATGAGCTCTAAAGGTTCAACTGAACAGCGGTCACTCCCTTTTTTATAAAAAAACCTACGCCACCGCATTTTTTAGAAATTATTGTATCGGATTTATATTCTATGCACAAAATATGTAAAAAAGATAACTTGAATTTTTTCCCTAAGATTCGCCGTTCTCGAGTTATTCATACCAATACAATCCCCTTGTGGCAGACACTTCTAAGCATAATATTACAAGAATATTTATATTTATGCTTAAAAGTAAGTAATTTGTAAACATATCAATAAAATTCTTTACACTCGTCGCTGGCCAATCTTAGGGAAAAAATTCAAGTTTCCTTTTTTTACGTATTTTGCGCATTAGAATATAAATCCCTTACAATAACTTGTAAAAATAGCAGTGGCATAGTTTTTTTAATAAAAAGGCGTGACCCCTGTTCAGTTGTACACCACTGATTGAACCTTTAGGGCTCATATTTTAGGGAATGCAAGGCCCACTGTCATACATTATATACATATACCAAATCTTATTGAGATCGGTTAATAGATTCCGGAAATATAAACAAAAATTTAATTTTTTTAACAACTTCAACACCCTGTATGTCTAAAACGAGGCCGTTTCAGACATATCTTTATATCTTTATAAAGCAAACACCTACTATCTTAAAGAAGTTTCCTGCATAAAATTCGGACCACCCTGTATACTCCAAGTTGTAATCATAAGATCATTTGTAGTAATGATTATTTTCTTTGTAGAGTCACTACAATCCAAATCCATGGGCGTAGCAAGGGGGAGGGGCAGAGGTGTGCACAGCACAACCCAGAAGGCCCGGTGCCCATCCCACCCCAGAAAAAAAGATCCAATAATGTCATCATGTCATGTCAGTAAGTCGCTGACTGCATGGATTTTTTTAAGAAGCCTCCATAGAGCTTGCAGTCCTGGGCCCACCCCAAGCAAAAATCCTAGATACGCCCATGTCCAAATCTATCTAAAATCGTTTTTAATAGCAATTACTACTATTACTAATGCAGAATCACTATGCTACAAGGGTAGATATAAAATCATTTATAATATAAAATAAAGCAGGTCTCTAAAATCGTTTATAGTAGCTGTTGTATATTTTTCTCTTAATGTGTTACAAAACGACCGTTGTTTTATCCCTGCAAAATTGCAACAACTTCAATTTAGTGACCCTATCTTAAATTTTTTGAAACGACAAATGAAGTAAACGTTACTATAAACAACTACAGAAGATTTTCTATTTACAGCTTGGAGTATAGTGACTAACTTAGTTTTCGAGGAGCTTAAACTCTAGTTAAATTTCAAGGATCCACGGATGAAATAAGTGTTACTACAAACAATTTTATATCTACAGCTTTGAATATAATGACTTTACATCAGTTTTAGAGAAACTACAAACAAGTACAAATGATTTTAGAGACACAGCTGGGAGTATAGTGATTGTTAAATTTCGAGGAACTACAAACAAAACAGCGCTACTACAAATAATTTTAGATACTCAGATTATACTGACTCTACATTCAATGTTGAAGAACTGTAAAGGAAATAAGCATTACTACAAACTACAAATAATTTTATATCTACAGCTTGGCGAATAGTGTTGACTATACTACAGTTTAACGCCGCTTGTAAATGACGCGATTTCGCCGGGCCGGTGAATTCATCGGGTCGGGAAAAAAACGTGTATCCTTATACACGAATGCAGTTTAATACCGGTCGTAAACCCGGTGCAGTCAACATGCTCTCATAAACTACTACAGCCTACTGACCATTTCCCTACCATGCGTAGATCAGGCACGTCGAAGGAAACCTATGCGCACACGGTGACCGGCCGGTCGCGGTGCGCTCACCAGGTGTGTTAACATACTGCCATGAAAATCTATATCCCCCCATCGACTGTATGAATCTACGGTGGATTCACTACGCTTACAAACGGCTAAAAAACCGTTATTTACAAGCGGCTTAGAGGAACAAACAACTACAGATTATTTTAGAGCTAGAGTTTGGAGTGGTGACTCTATGTTAGATTTCGAGAAACTATTGAGGAAATAAATGAAAATGGGTCTAATTTAATTTTTAAGGAATTACAAACAAATTATCCATTACTACAAACAACTGCAAACAATTTTATATTTACAACTTGGAGTTAACGAAATAAACTCTACTATGAATGATGAGTTTAAGTGATTTATAAATTTTACACAAGACAACAAATTGCACATTTTGAAAATAGTTCTTATTTTTTTATTTGCTACTAGAAATGAAAACTTGCTTACTACAATTACTCCAGTCGAAATAGATCATCATAACACCAGAAAATCTAAAAAAAATATTTGTAGACATTTTATTGTACTTTATGATGGAGAAAAGTATGTAGAATGATAATATCAAAAAAGTAACTCGAAAGAAGTGACGCTAAGTTGGCAAATTCCAAATAAGTGGCAAAATTATGTTTTTCCACTTTTTTACTGCCCATGAAAATCTAGACTACATATTGGAAAATTAATTCTTTTATAGTATGCGAAGCACAAAGGCTCCATCTATCGCGCTGACTTCCACTATGCCATTCAAATGGCTACTACGGTGGAAGCGACCTGCTAAAATTTGCCAGGTACTTTATTGCACGAATGTCGCCTATAGAGGGCGAAACACAATGTAAGTCGTCAGTGCCGCGAAAAACAACTACTCCGAGGGCTATTTGCCCAAAGCCTAAAGTACCTGGCAAATTTTAGCAGGTCGCTTCCACCGTAGTAGCCATTTGAATGGCATAGTGGAAGTCAGCGCGATAGATGGAGCCTTTGTGCTTCGCGTACTATGTACCTCTTGTCGGGAGTTTACGACTTTTAACAGCTGGATCGTTCATCGGTTGTCCTACCTATGACACACTGATGAGGACTAATAAGTCCGGTCTGTGCCTGGTGGGACCAGCTGATGAGCGATCCTAGCTGTTGTACTGGGTGTCGCGAATGTAATTCAATGCCGGTAGGGGCAAATAGCCCTCGGAGTAGTTGTTTTTCGCGGCACTGACGACTTAATTCTTTTATGTTGTAGGCAATTAAATTACCTACAATTTGAGGTACCTGAAGTCACTTTTCACCTATTTGTTAACTGTAAAATTAAGGTCGAACGTGCAAAAATCAGTTTTCGAAAATTCCGCATTATTATTGCAAAAAGAGTTGATGAAATTTAACATGTGTACCAAAGGCCGATTCGATTGAACGTGAAATTCTTACTCCAGCTAGTTGTTAGTTAATTTTCATTAGTGTTTTTGCAACTAATTGTTTAATTACCAAACGTTAATTTTAGAAGTTAATATTGTAGATAAATGTTCTAATTGATCCACAGAAACATATCCAAAAAGAAAAATTTCAAAAAGTTGAAATTAAGTTGCCCTATATAAACAAATTGTCTCAGGGTCAGGCAAAAGCTGCTAGGGAATTCGCTCTTTTTGCATTAAATAAAGCTTATTTTTACGGTAATTTTTAGAAAAAGAGAAATCACCTACGCCTCTTTGTTCCACATATAACTTTTTTTGATAAAGTTAATTGTTACTTAATGTATCGGAACGGTATTTTAGAGACAATTAAAGAAAGGGTTAAACTTTTATTTTTTTACATTGATAGTTCATGTAATAAATACGTTAGCAGTAGTAAAAGTTAACGCTTATGAACGGCCTGCACGCAGAAGGAACGCCGTGCCCATGCACACGCGTGAACACTGCTCTCGGTGGTATGCGATATTTTTGCATTCAACATTTCAAATTCAATTCAGTCTCTATCTCGAGAACCGCTCGATCAATATTGATGATTTTTTTTTCTATTTTAGGTATCTCGTCGAGACGAGTGCAATGCCACCATAAAATGTATACATTGTCAGTATTAATACATTATAAATTAAAAATATCCATAAAAATTCTACTTTTAACAGCTATAAATATTATTTTTTTCTCGTATTTAATTTTTTTCTTGTTTTATTGAAGAATCGAATCAGCCTTTGGCACACATGTTGGTCATTGGATTGACCGTCTTTTCCATAAATTTCATCAACATCTATCGCTTTTTACAATAATAATGCGCAATTTTGGAAAACTGGTTTTTCCGCGTTCAACCTTATTTTACAGTTAACAATATGTGAAAAGTGATTTCAGATACCTTAAATTGTAGGTAAATTAATTGCCTAGAACAACAGTCGGCAGCTGGCGGACCGCTGTGTAGATCCGGACCGCGGAAGGTAAAAAACTGGACAGCCAAAAATTTTTTTAAATAATAATTACTCAAATTATTTAAAACATATTTTTCTGTAGATAACAATACGTTTATAATTTTTTAAAGGTTAGTAGGTTACTTAAAAAGCTGGCTCAAGACGGCAAATGTAATTTCTCCCATTGATTTTTTAATACAAATATGCCTATCTATTGTACTTCATTTCATATTATTTTGTGGGTGCAAATTAAAATAAAAAATTAGTAAGGAATATGAGTTTTATCTGGCCCTCATTAAAAATTTTCAAAAGTATCCCAACTCCACCTAAAATTACTTGCCGACCCCTGGCCTGGGCCTAGAACATAAAAGAATTAATTTTCCGATATGCCATCTAAATTTTCATAGACAGTAAAAAAAGTGGAAAAACATGTAATTTGAAACTTATTTGCAATTTGCCAACTTAGTGTCACTTCTTTCAAGTTACTTTTTTGATATTATCATTCTACATACCCTTCCCCGTGATAAAATGTCTATAATTTTTCCACGTTCAAACTCTAATTCGATTGGAGTAACTCAACTACAAAAGATTTTGTATTGAAATCAACCATCAGATATGAGAGCCGTCAAATTCAGTGATTGAGTTTTTTAAAGGTTCTAACATTTTCTGTTGGTGTTGCAATAGGAAAATATATTTTTTATACAACTCACCAGTATCGGGTCCAGGGTGCTTCTTATTTTTCTTAGGTGCTCCTGTGGGCACTGGGAAACCAGATTCTCCTAGATTATTCAAAGTAATAGGCTGTTTAGGAAATTGATTTTGGAAACCCATAACGCAATTGTAAGAACAAAAGTTTCTTATCGTTGCATCAGACATCGTTAAATGATACATTGGATGTGTTAGTTTTTGACAGAAATTACAAACTGTTTTTCTTGAACTCACTGCATTTATTGATACCCTGTAAAGGCTAAGGCAGTTCACACTGCACATATTTATCATGGGACCAGATTTAGAATATCTTCTTATCATATCAAAATTATATTTCTTTACTTTGCACCAACTGCATGGTACAATTTTTCGATGAGCTATAATATAAATGTTCTCACAACTGTTAGAGCAAAAACTATGTTGCACATTATCATAATACATTGTATGTTTTTCGAGGATGGACTTGGGGAAATGTCTCCGACACATAGCACATTTCCCTGGAGAAATATTATTTACAAAGCTAAATGCAACAAAACAAGGCTCGCTACAAAAATAATTTGGGCATCCATTCAATTCAAATTCAATCGTAATGGGGTTTTCGGCTTTACAAACAGAACATATTGTACCTGAGGCAACTTTTGGTGGTCGGTCGTTAGTCATAATATCATATTTTTCCATACAAAGTTGGGAACAGAAATCCTTAAATTGACCTTTGTCTCCTACTGGTGCTAAAAAGCCAGCAGGCCCTCCAGACATATCTTGTTGACAGTAAGAACAGACTTTAAGTCCTTTTTTATACTTCTCTAAACACATGCTAGTACAAAACTGTCTTATATCATTACCGAAACGGACACAATATTTTCCAAGTGAATTCGATTTTACCTCCATGTTACAACTTGAACAATGAGAACCAATTTCTTTTTGATATTTAGAAAGACAAACTTCATTGCAGAAATCCATAATTTCCCATGTCAAATTGTTTTCTATATCATCAGTAATTTTTTTACAAGCTGCACATTTTCTTATGAATGAAAGAGAGGGAGGTTCTTTCGTAGTTCCAGAAAAATTTTTTACTCTCAAACTACCCTCTTCCCAGTTAAATACTACTTTATCTTCTTGGCTATCTTTAAAAACATTTAAGCAATTGTCATCACAAAGATATCTTGTCGCGTCCTTTCCTGAATAGTAATATTTTACTTTTCTTTTCTAAAATAAAAGAAAAATTAAAAAATAGTTACATAATATTAGAACTTATTTAAATGAAAATATAATTAAAAAAAATAAACTTAAAAATAAACGAATTAAGGTAAGAAAAATTGAAAATCCCTTTCAATTAACATTAATATTTAACTATGTATATTAATAATTATACAGGGTGTTTCTTAAGTAGAGGTAAAAAATCCAGGGATTTATTCTGTGGTCAAAAATAAGGGTTTTTTTGTTATATAAATGTGGTCATAGGACAACTATTGTCCAGTTACCAGTTACAGCGTGTCAAAAATTTTAAAAAATCAGTTCTTAATTTTTAATTTTTAAACTGCTTCAGACAATTTAACCAAATTCGGTGTGTATATTTAGTATGACAGTAGGTACGAAACAAAAAATTACCAGCTTTAGAAACGTACTAATGAGGGAGGTGTGGGTATCATCGATCACTATTTGCCAAAAAAATATATATCACCCTGTATGATATTACAAATAAAATAGGTCACCATATGCGCCATTGTATTATCTTCACTTTTTGTTTCTTTACACTTTTTTTGTATTCCAAACCAATTAACAACAAAATTGATTTATTTGATGAAATGCATTTTTACAATACATACATTACATTAGTTACATAAATAAACTCGGCCAACAAAAAAAAAAAAATCGCGTGTTTTTGAGACGTGACCCTACCTATCATTAGTAAAATTTTCTGCTGAATCCGAAAATCATAAAAGGAAAAATTTCTGACTTATGGATTCTCCTCCACACACCCTCAGTTCCCCCAAAAATAAAAAAATCATAACAAAATAAATATTCCACTCATTGTAAGTAAAAAGTAAACTAAGACTTTAAATAAGTATTTAATGGATAATAATTTAAAAAAAGAGTAAATATAATCAATGACTTGCTTGCTTGAAGATTTTTGCATATGTTGCAATTAGGTGCTATTGTATCAGGTATATGGTTCCCAGATCTAAGGGTTTGACCTGGAGTTTTCGGGTTTTGATGGTACATCTTCGAGCTCCAGGTTAACATGTCATTTCTCCTCGTGCGTTTTCTTTGTTGAGGAAAAATCGTGATTTCGAAAGCATTTATTATTAATTAAAATGTACCGCTAGCACTACACACGTGCAAAGACATAACGACTTTGCTATGCAGTGGTAAACAAATTACAGGCCAGATGCGTTGTTATGTTATGACAATGAAATAAAGTATTCAGTATTTTATTCAGCATTCTTAGATTTCTATGACTTGACTGATTTGTCGTGTGCAGTGTGCGTATTTTTATTATGTACGGGTATCTTATGTCCTGGAAATTATAGTTTAATTTAGTTATTCATTAAAAATGGGAACTCCAGAGCCCGAGCCTTCTAATCAGGAAAGTCAAAATATATGACTTACTTTCAAGATAGTTGGCTTGCGGGTGCTAATTATAAATATTGGTTGAGGAAAATTGATATCATAACAGCAAGATGTTTTTTATGTACCATTAAATATGGCAGTGAAAAGCCTATCTAAACACGTTTGAACAGCAAAAGACATCAAATATGCATAAAAAATCAAGCATCAAATCAACTGTTGACTGCTTTTATGCCAAAAAGGGAAACTGAAGATGAAAATTTAATAACAATTATCGAGGTAGCTCAAGTGTATCACGTAATTTGTCATCATCACAGTTAACCGAGTATAGACTGTGGGATAAAGTTAAATACTATGTTGTACAAAGGTTCGAGTTTAGCTAAAAAAGTTTATTGCGGGCGAACAAAATCAGAATCTATAATCGAGAATGTATTATGTCCAAAGTCTCTAGAAACGTTTTTAGAAGGAATGAGAGCTGGTAGAAGTAATTGCATTTCATTTTCAGTTTCATGTGATGCTTCCAACAAGGGATATCAAAAAATGTTTCCGGTTGCAGTTAGATACTTTAGTCAAAACACAAGTATTCAGAGTAAACTGTTAGACTTCTATGAAGACAACAATGAAAACTCAGCGGCAATATGCAGTTGAATAAAATAAATATTAAGATTAAATTAACCTAGTGCTTACAGTGCTGACAATGCTTCTGTGAATTATGAAAGTTCATAATTCTATTTTTCAAAAATTGAGTGATAGTAACAAGAACATCCTGAAAGCAGATTGTAACTGCCATGCTATCCATAATGCAGGCAGAAATACTTTTAAAGTGCTTTCTTATGAAAATTTGGTGTTAAAAATTTATGCAGAATTTTCCAAGTGCAAAGAAAAATTAAAACTTAAAAGAATGCTTTGAATTCTTAGATTTAGATAAAATGTTAAGACACGTAACAACCAGGTGGTTGTCATTGGGAAAAGCCGTAGAAAGATTAATTCAGTACTGGCCAATTGTAAAGGCATATTTTCTTGAATTAGGTGAAGATAACACTAACAAAGTATTATAGCAATTTATAAAAAGTGAAAATGAACTAGTTGATCTGAGTCTGAGAACAGAAATAAGCTTAGCTGAAAGCTACCTCTTTTTTGCCCATCGTTATACCAACTTATTAAACACGTCCATTTTTCTGTTAGAATGTAACAGTCTAACAAGTACAGAAATACATGAAGTGATGAAGGATTTGAAAAGTAAAATTACTGAATGACTTGATAATTCTTTCTTTGGACCTAAAGTTAGGAACAACCTAAAGCATTTGTCTAGTGAAAGAAATAAATTTGTAACTGAAGCTAATCAAGTTTACCAAAGAACAATAAATTACCTCGACAAGTGGTGCAACTATAATGATGAGCCATTCAAATACTTTGTTCATCTAAACCTTAAGGAAAATCGTCATATTACCTATGATCAAATATTGAAAGGAAACAATGCAGCAAAGGTAACTAGTGTCAATGATGATCATCCATTTCATATATGGGCAACCCCCGGCCCCCGGGCCGGATCCGGCCCTCCACCAGCTTCAATCCGGCCCGCAAGAGATTCAGAAAATTCAAATAACGATATCAATTCAAATCGATAAATAATATTATTAAGTGTACGCAGTGGAACGCCACAGATCGAGTCAGAAATAGTCGTTAGAAAGAGACAAAGACATAAACATTCGGTAAGCTGCCCGATGTGTTTGAAGCACTTTCGTACGATCGAGAGTATTCTAGTTGCTTATTGGGGGTAATATATAAACCGCTCAGCGCGTGTGTCATCTCATTACTTCTTAACAACTGATAAAGTTCGCATCACATATTCGCGTACGGTCTAGAGTACGACGCGGGAAATATTGCAGCAAATTCTATCAACATGTCTGGTTTAAAAAAGCGGAAAGTGGATACAGAATGTCGTCAACTCCAAGACAAATGGACTGATGAATACTTTTTTATCTTGCACAGTGGTAAACCTATGTGTTTGTTGTGCAATGAAACAATTTCTGTTTTAAGAGAATACGACATGAAGCGGCATTACTCCAGTAAGCATTTCGCTCAATATAATTTACTCACGGGCCAGTTAAGAAAGGATAAAATTGAAAAACTCATTACCAATTTAGGGAAACAGCAACAAATGTTCCATTCACAAAAATCAAATCTAGACAGTGTTGTTAAAGCTAGTTTTATAATTAGTTCCAAAATAGTGAAAACATCGAAGTCATTTTCTGAGGGACAGTTTGTTAAAGAGTGCCTAGTAGAAGTTGCAGAACTTTTGTGCCCAGAAAAGAAGAGTTTGAGAAAGTGAGCATATCGCGACATATCGTTGTTCGACGTATAGCTAGTAATATCAACAAAACATTGACCGATAGATTGGCTAGTTTTCAAGCATTTTTGATTGCTTTGGATGAGAGTACAAATTTATCTGACACATCCCAGTTAGCTATTTTTATACGAGGTGTTGATGAAGAATTTGCAGTGACAGAGGAATTACTGGCTTTACGGCCACTACAAGGAACCACTACTGGAAAAGATATGGTTGCCAAGGTGCAAAGTACTTTTGAGCAATATAGTTTGTAATGGTGTAAATTAGTTGGAGCGTGCACAGATGGTGCGCCTTCAATGGTCGGTTCACGAAAAGGTTTTATCGGAAATCTGAAGGAAAGAGCAACCGCTATGAATGTGCAAGAATGTGATTTAATAATTCTGCATTGCATTATTCACCAACAAAACTTGTGCTCTAAGTCCATTCGACTGAAGAATATTATGGATGTGGTAGTAAATACCATTAATTTTATTAGATCCCACGGTCTTAACCATCACCAGTTTAAAGCATTTTTGAATGAACTCTCTTCAGAACACGATGATGTAACATATTATTGCGAAGTAAGGTGGCTAAGCAAAGGTAAAATGCTAAAAAGGTTTTATGACCTTAGAAAAGAAATAGCTGATTTTATGGAAATGAAAGAGAAAACATTGCCGCAAATTTGTGATCCAACTTGGCTTTGTGACTTGGCATTCCTGGTAGACATCACAGGACACTTAAATGACCTGAACTTGAAGCTTCAAAAACAAGGGCAATTGGTAAATCAGCTGTTCAGTCATCTTAAAGCTTTTCAAAACAAAATTCGCTTGTGGGGAACACAAATGAGAAGTAAAAACTGTTTTCATTTTTTAACATTATCCAGTCCCGAAAACATTGAATACGGTCGCTATGCTGAAGAACTGGAACTACTGTCAGAGCAATTCACTAATTGATTTTCCGATTTTAAGAATATGGACAGCACTTTTAATATTTTTGCAAATCCTTGTAAGTGTAATGTGGAAAATGCTCCGCTTCACCTACAAATGGAGTTGATCGAGCTTCAAGAACATTCATATTTGAAGTCTAAATTTGATGATATGGAACTAAGCAAATTTTACAGAACATACCTTTTCAAAGAAAAGTATCCACAGCCGAGTTTTCGCACGAAAAATCATTTGAAAATTAATAAAAATAAGCATCGTACTCGGCTTACAGATGTTAATTTTGAAAATCTTTGCGCCTATGTACTACTGATATTGACCCCAATATTGATCATCTTGTTTCTCAGCTACAAACTCAAGTATCTCAT